ACACACACAGACACACACAGACACACACAGACACACACACACACACACACACACACACACACACCTGCCACAGGCAGTGTTTTAAGACACTCTCACGGGCCTATGGGCTGCCCCCCTGGGCAGGTGGGCAAGATGTACTATCAGGCCTGCGTCCTGGATGGACTAGTCCACTCTGCTCTGTGCCAACTTCCCTGGATCATATACTAGCAGAGCACAGGGCCATAGGCAAAGTGTCCACAGACTGAGGTTGCTGCCTTTCAATTTTAATTTCTACTTTTAAACAAAGCAGATTGGTCTTCTTGGTTCCTGGAGCAGGCAGGGATAGGAGTGTTGCATCCGTCTAGCTGCTGTCCATTCTGACTCCTGGCTGGGCTCCTCCCTGAGGCCTAGGTTTCACAGGTTTCCCTTTGGCTCTGGCTCCTCTTGGCCTCCATCTTGGCACTGTCTGGTGGGCCGCCAGCTCATCCATCTTGTGGCCGCTCGATAGAGCTGCCGGGGCCTGACACATCCATCAGCCAGCCTTGGCGGGCAGGGTGCCTGTGTGTGCAGAGGCACTGAGAGGGACTGAGCAGTGCCTGGCCAGAGGGCCACTAGCTGCACCTCCATGGCCCTGGCTGGCCCGTACAGAAGCAGGACTCAGTTGGGTAAGAGCCTTGGCTCTCTCCAAAAGGAGAGGACTTCTGCTCCACTCTGGATAGGCTTGGGAAAGTTGGGAGGAGGGCTAGTGGTCATGTTGGGGCTATCCAAGTGAAGGTACCATCATAGAGTCCCAGAGGGGTGGGCTGGGGGTGAGTGCTGCCTGGTGCTGGCTCATTTATCATGATGCTCCTGTTTGCTGAGGTCACTCCCTCCTCCTCTGCCCCCACCCTCTGAAGGCCTGCCCACATTCTTGATGGCCTGTTACCATGGTGAGGACACCACATCACCACTCGTATTGTTCCCCATGCCTGGATTTGGGGGTGGGGAGAGGTGGAACTCATGGCTCCCTTTGCAGACTGCAAGGGCCACTTGGCCTGGCCTAAAACACACCCCCAGGGACCTCTAGCTAGGCTTGTTGAGGCCCAGACGATATGCAAATAGCTGCCAAGCCAGATGGTCGGCTTCAAAGTGCCCAGGGGAGGGTTAAACAGAGGCAGGGGCTGGTGGCTTGGGGATGGCTCTGGGATAGATGGGGGCTGTGGAATATCACTTTTACCTTCCCCCTCTGTGTCTGGCTTTCCCATTCCTATTGAGGGTGGTATCCCTCCTGGGATTCCATGCAATCATTCACAGGACGAATCTTTACTGAGCAACTACTAGGTGCCAGGTGCTAGAGAGATGGCAGTGAATAGGACAGACCCAGAGCCTACCCTCATGGAGGTAACAGGCCAGCAGAGGAAATGAACATTCAGTTATTTAACTAGTTGTAATAAATGCTACAAAAACAATCAAGGGACAGTGAAAGCATTTCCAAGGGATTGCCTTTGGTCTAGGAGCAGGAAAAACTTTTCAGAGAGTGTTAACATTGAAGTTGAGGACTGAAAGGTGAGTGGGGTGGGATGGGAGAGCATTCCTGGCAGAATGAAGAGCATATGGGAAGACCTGAGGCAGGGTGGAATTGGCAGGTTCAAGACACTGGGACAAGAGAGGGCAAGATTAGCATGAGATGAGGCCAGAACAGTAGCCAGGAGCCAGATCATGCAGGGCCTTGCAGGCCTTGCAAAGGAACCTGTTCTGGAAGAGGCCCCTACCTCCACCTGAACGCCAGGGATATTCACCATGTGCATTGCTCCCTGGGCATCGAGCCTACACTGCCCTGGCCTGTGCTCCCATATTTCTTTGTCTTGACATGCATATCACCACCCAGCTCAGATGTAGGGCATTACTACTACCACAGGCAGTCCCTGGGTTACAAACGTCCAACTTGCTTACAACTTGTAGTTACAAACCAACGTCTGTAAAACCCATTCCATCAAGTTGATTCTGAATCCCAGTGACCCTATAGGACAGAGCAGAACTGCCCCATAGGGTTTCCAAGGAGCAGCTGGTGGATTTGAACTGCCAACCTTTTGGTTAGCAGCCGTGCTCTTAACCACTCACCACCAGAGCTCCCAACCCCATAAAGTCTATTATATTAAAACTCTGAAGTACATACACAATGGTTCGTAAAAACAAATGGGCGCTACTCTGTGACACATACCAAAACATTATTATTATTACTGTATTCTTATGCTGAAGATGGTTTAGTATACCTGGAAGTGTTTCTTTAATGTTTTTTATACATAGAAAGGTACAATATATACTATATGACTAAGACAAACGTTTGACTAACTGATGTTAGATATGAACCATACCTAACTGTTCCAACTTAGGTACAAACTCAACTTAAAGACAGACTTAGGAACAGAACTCATTCATAATCCGGGGACTGCCTGTACCAGGCTGAGTGTGTTCTGAGCACCTGCCACAGCACACGGCACAGGACCTCACACACTAAACACCCGAGATGTTTACTGAATATGTGAGCAACTGCAGAGGGAGGAGGAACCAGTTAAGAGCACGGTCTTCGGTATCAGACAGTTCTGGTTTTGAGTTCAACTCCATTGCTTCCTCGTTGTATGACCCTGGTTAAGGAATTCTCTCTAAGCTTCAGGTTCCCTTTTTGTCAAATGGGGATGTTAAGAATGCCTTATAGGGTTGTTGTCAGGATCAAATAAGATGATCCATGTAAGGCTCTTGGCACTGTGCCAGGCACATCAACGTTGTAATTACACCTACTCCTCACTTACCATCTCGTTAAGTGACATTCCCCATTTACGACAATAGTAAAAAATCTACTATGCAACTATCTTGCATGCTAACAAGGTGGTGGGAATGTCAGCAAAGGCTGTGGAGTGTCCCCTTCCTCGAGAAGGGTCTCCGGGTGGCCTGTGGGAAGCTGGGCCACACTGCCCTGTGCCCTCCGCTCCCTCCTGCTGCTGGGGGCAGTGGGACCAGCTGTACCAAACCAGCGGGCAGGCAGTAGCAAACCAGCAGATGCCTGTTCTGGGTTCCCAGCTCCTGTGCAGACTGAGGCCCTACAGCTCAAAATTGCTGTAGGGTGGGAAGGGAAGAAAGAAAGAGGCTTCGGAGAGGGTGTTTGGAAGAAATGCCTGTGAGTTCAATGTCATCCCAAAGTGAGCTAAACTGGGCCTGAAGCCTCCAGGTGCACGGCCAGGCTCCCAGCACCTTCACAGGAAACCCCCTGAGCCTGGCGCCCGGAGCCTTGGTGACTCACCAAGCCTGGAGAGCAGAGCAGGCTCCCAGATCATGAACATAGGGCTTGCAGGGGTGGAGTAGAGCCCTATAGGCGGCTCTGAGAGGGAAACTCTGACCAACACAGGAGGAAGATGAAGTGGTTAAGCCATGGGCCCTCTAGTCACACAGCCCACCTTTATCCAGCTTTGTCTCCTCTAAGTCTCCTCCACAAGGAATAGTCCATAACAGGACTTGTCACAGTGATGAACACAATAAATCTTAGCAGTTATTATTTCTATGATCTTATTTTCTAAATAAAAAAAATTGGACAAACAGATAGTCTGAAAACAGAAAAAAAATCCTCCATTTTCATAGAGTGCTGATTTTCGCATAATGACCTGGTCTTTGGAACCTTCCC